GATTTTTAAAAATAGCACATTTTTTGTTGTTTTTCAGATTCTCTTATTATTCCCTAACTCTAAATTCAAACAGCAAAAATTGCCTTAAAAATATTTCTCTGGAATCCTCTGTCGAACTCTACACCAGTCACATTTTATATATTTAAGAGAGATTTTGTTCAGTTAAGGAGTATTTCTGACATTTTGTTCAAATTCAGGGACAACTATCAGTGGCGGCTCACGAGAACCAAGATACCTAAACTCATAATGAAGTTCAGGATCTCTCCCGGATTATTTCAAGTAACAGAAACAGATGCTTATCTGTCTTTCCCATGTGGAGTGGGAATGGCAATTCCAATCAACCCTCCATCAATGGTTAATGTCTAGGAATAAAAAGAGATGCAGTGCAAAGCACCTGAGAAGCTACATATTCCCCACATGATTTCTAAAGATTTATTGATGGTGATGAAATGAGCAAAATTTGCTTTATTATTGTTCTACCTAAAATCTGCAAGGATTAAAGTAGTTTAAAGCAGTCTTTCTTCCAGGAGGCAGCACTGAGGAATTCTGTTAGTTGGGAAAAGCTGATGAAGATATTGTCCCACTTACTATAGGGCTTTACAAAAACATTATACAATAAATTACAGTATGCTGGTTAACAACCAATGACCTTCATGGCCAAGCAAGGATTTTAAATCCTCAACTCATTATTTCACCAGCTCTCTTTCCTTGGATGATCAAGTTCCACACTCCGATTTAGCAAGAGGTTATGGGATGACAATTTTCTCCTACAAAAATTCAGATGTATTCTGCAAGAAAATGAAAGCCAGTATTTATTTTAAACTAGAAGACGCTATCATATAATTGCAAATCTGGTAACCATAGTAATAGTAAACTAACCATCTTAAAGTGTGGAGTATTATAAGAAATACAGAATTATAAATGAAGGTTCATGTATGTAACGCACAGATTAGAAAACAAGAGTTGAAAAGCAAACACAACTATTCTTTAACATTATAAACAGACTTCTATCGCCCCTGATGAAATGTTGAGTTTTGTGCTATAGAAATCCTATCTCAGCCTGTAGAATAGCATCATTGCATCATTATTCATAGACAGCAATATGGACAAGTAAGTTGAACAAATCTATACTGTATTAGCCAAACCAAAAGAAGATGCAAGTAATAAGATTTCAAAGGAAGGACTGGAGCTCAGAGTCAAGAGGGTTAGCTGCAGAAAATGGCACTGAAAACTGTTTCTTAAACATGGAAGAGATCCAAATCTTTTAAAATCAAATCTATTTGGCTTTAACCAGATACAAGAAACAGATTTCTATATTGAGATTTTAAGCTAGGGGTGTGGTAAAGATGTTGATTCCTTGTAAGAAGATTCACATCAAAAACATTCTACTAGATTCAGACTTCAGGAACTTGCCACCACCTCCTCCTTCCCTTTTATTTTGAGACACATCGAGTAATTTGACAAGTTATTGCACTGAAAACTGTCCCCAATCTTAGGAGGAACATCTATTTTTCCTAGGGCTGAAATTATAAACCTAGGATTTCCACTGAGAAAATAATACCATTCATGTCAGACTCTACAAGAAATGTTGATACTTGTAGACCCAGTCTCAATTCCATAAAGAAAAGAAGTTCCACTGCCTTTCTGAAACAACAGCCACTTACTTTCTTTTCAGTTTCTTGGAATTAAGGAGAAAGAGGAGGCAGTGAAGATTATTTCTATCAAGTTTTCATGATTGTACAAACCAAGTTTTTGGAAAAACTTGGATGTGTCTTCATGATTTTTTTCAATTATTTAAGTATTAAACCAAATTAATACAAATACGAATGGAAGGGCATGTCCAGTATATTTATAATTATCCAGGTATTTGGGTACACAGGAGACATAGTGGCCTAAAGATTTCAGGAAATACTAGATTTTCCCCCCAGATAAGTGTAATTATTTGTAATTGCTTACAATTCCCCAAAATGATAGATAAATTTCACCAGACACAACCTTTGCTTGACCGAAGTAGCTAATCCATACTTCCCCTACCACCCCGTCACTCAAATAATAGGAATTAACAAACCCAAGTCTCTGTAAAATATATTTCCAGTAATCAGTTTCATATATTCTGATCAAGTAGTTTTGGTAATTTTCAAATATCTAGAATCCATAAATCTGGTTTGAGGCTGACAGAACCAGCACATTGCTTTTGATGTATGCTTGCTTATTCCCTTGTTATCCCTTCCTCTTCTATCTTTCTGCTCTGCAAGAGGGAGGGCAAAAAAAAACACAGATCAGGCACAGGTCTAGGCATACTGTACTGACTGTAATGGTGGTCATGTGACTGAAGAACATTGCAAAGATTTTTTAAAAAGCAGGCATTGGCTGGTAAGCTTTTCCCCCACAGTTTTTGTAACTTTGAAAAGTCAGTCAGTAAATAAGAATTACCTGTACAAAGATGTCAATTTCTTTCTGCTGACAAACAATAGGCTCTCAGCTTCTTGGGATACACAGGTAGAAAAAACGAAAGTCTTAGGACTAGTATATACAAGCTCACAGTTGTTAGTTTTCTGTTAATTATTGCTTTTCTAGTGTCTGTAATTTTATCTATAATAAAATTAGAGTTCTATCCCTGAATTTCTGAGCACTCGTCTTTTGAGTTTGAACAACTATAGGTGAAGACTGGAAGCCAATGAGCTGTGCCAGGCTAGAACAGTGTGCACTGTCACAGAATGCAACTATGGGATGTGATCTTAATTACTACAGTGAAAAAAAAAGTTTCTGCTGCAGCCAGGTGACTCTTCAGCTAAAGTTGGTGCTCCATATATAACAAAAGCTACCATTCAAGTTGACTTAAGAATAAGAACGAAGCTAGTCAATCTTTCTCTTGCATAGATGTTGAGTTGGCATATTTTGTTTCCACTGAGGACAAGAAATCCCAGATCCCATCTGCAATTAAACTATTACAGGAGATAGAAGCATACATTTCTAGGAAAGAACAGGTGGGTGATATTTGTTTGTTTACCTACTTCATTATATTTATTACCACACACTACAAACATTCTTGGTGGTTTACAATATAAGCAGGTAAAATGAACGTATAATTGAGAAAACTATCAATTGATCCATCTCAAATATTCAAAAGCAATTTTTAAAATGGAAAGTTCCATGAAGAATTATTGCCTTGACTGACTCTCTAAGCATTATAAGAGAGGCACCCATCCAGATTCCCCGGGGGGAGGGAGAGCTGTTCCACAGAAAAGAAGCAACAATAGAAAAACATTGTCTGAATTACACGCATGGAGAAGGGAAGAACCCTCAGCATCCCAATATGAGATAGATGGACCAGATAGATGGTTCTGCTTGAAGGAGAAGATGCTGGAGATGTGCAGGTATTGAGTCCAAATGACCTTTAACATAGATTAAAACCCACCTCTACTGGAAGTTAATGCATTTCTGTAATAGTTACAAATGACTCTCGCCCACTAAAAGGCTGGCCACTGTTTTCTTATCAATCGTAGCTAGATTCCAATGGTAGATCCATTTAGAATGCCTTACAGCAGGCTATTCTAAGAACTGATGAGCATGTGAGTTATATTGCTATATTGAAAGATCAATACAACCAGTTTACAAATCCAAGGGGAAATAAGAATTATCTGTCTAGGGTTGCACAACATTTTGCATTAAAAAGGGGGGGAAAGTGTCATGGGTTGTGCAGGGGTATTTATGTAACATCAGTTTGCAACTCCTTAGATCCAATACATCTTTTACCAGACTGAGCTGTAGCTGCAACGTCTTTGTGTGATCCAGTGAAAAGATGCATCGGCTTTAAGACACTGCAGATGGGAGCTGTCTGAACTCCCCCACTCTACCTCCACAATATTCTAAAGGGTTCTTCAAATCCAAAACACCGCAGTTTTAATTCTTTAAGTTGCTAATAGCTGCCTGTACCGACTATTTCTAAGAAAAGCTGGGTACTCCTAATTGCATTCAGATTGCCACTGAATTGATACATAAACTGCAAAATACACAGAAATAATCAGACAGGCAGTCACAATGCAGTGTAGGGTCTTAGTTTTGATTGGCTTGATTGGGATTGGACAGATTGGATTTGACCAGAATATCTGTGATATTTTAAACTGCAGAGCTCTTATCTCTGTAATCATCTTGCTTTACTAGTCCTCATGCATCTTTATCAATAATTAAAGGATCAGAGTATCTTTGCTTGTTCTAATTTGCAGGACAGGAAGCTAGGAATAATATTTACATTAGAACTGAGCACAAAATTACCTTATGAAGTTCATACCAATTTGACCTTATCAAATTCATAGAAAGAACTGACTGGATGTTTTTTTACTTGCAACTAAATAAGTGTACAACACCATACTTTAATTGTGAGAATTTCAATGAATTTCTCCCACCTCTCTTTGATAAGTTTTGCAAAGCATTCTCTTTCATCCAACTGAATGAGAATCATGGAGGGGGGAACAATCACTGCCTGATGTTAATTTATACATTTAGAAGTGGTTCTCGGCTTGTGACAATTCATTTAGTGGCCGTTCAAAGTTATAATGGCACTGAAAAAAGTAACTTTTCACGATCTTTGTAGCAGCCCCATGATCATGTGGTCAAAATTTGGATGCTTGGCAACTGGTTCATACTTAGGACCACTGCTGTGTCCTAAGGTCATGTGATCCCATTTTGCAACTTTCTGACCAGCGGTGTCAATGGGGAAGCCAGATTCATTTAACAACCGGGTCACTCACTTAACAACTATGGCAACATTGTAAAATGGGGCAAAACTCACTTAACAAAGGTCTCCCTTAACAACAGAAATGTTGGCCTCAGTTGTGGCCATAAGTTGAGGACTACCTGTACTGCACAGAAATAACGCAGTGGAAAATCCTGTTGGTGACTGTTGGTCATGGTAACCAGAGCATAACCCTGGGTGATGTCATAAATGGAGGTGGGGAGTGGCTCAGCATCTTTCAACCACCTTAGAACGATCTGCTTACCTTCCAGGACCACTTCCTTGCCAGTCTTCTTCAGAGCTTGCACTGCTTCATCGTGTGAGGCATCAGACAGGTCACCACCGTTGACGGAAAGGATAGCGTCCCCTACAAACAGCGCTTCCGTCTGGTCTGCAGCCAGCCCTTTAAATATCTTGGATATCAGGATAGGCATTTTATTTTCTCGACCACCTGGAAATAAAACCCGAATAAAAGCCACTAAAGAAGATGTCATACAAAGATATGAAAAAACAAACCAACAAACAAAGCTTCCCTGATATTTTTTGTACCTTCTTTTTGTGTTTTTGGTTTGTTTTTGTTTTTTTGCAAGGGGTGGTAATTAAGGATAGAGTCAGTTACATTTCCGGATCATTTCTGGAGTTGTTACAGGGAAAAAAAGATATCTGAACAAGAGCAGTTTTTATAAAATGACCCAGCTGTGAAAATAGAGATAAGTGCAAAACAACATTTTTTTCTGATGAGGTAATTATACAAAATAAATGTTGTGCTAAATAATTCATAAAACTACTTATCCACAATTCATAAAACTACTTATCCACATTCTAGATACAGATAAGATAGATATGTACTATAGATAAGATTTTACATGCTTTACTTGAGAAATATTGTATTTTAAGCTTTGAAAGATATTTTATTATATTTTGATTGATCTTAATCTTATACTATATCACATGTATATATTGTGCGATAAAACATATCTGTATTGGATTTTGTTTTGGTTTATTTATTTGTTTTTTATCGTTGAAAAATAACTATTTACATCACTTTATTTACATTTCTTTCAGGACTCTGGCACTCAGTATGTCACCCAACATACTAAATTTAAGACAGAACTTTTGTGCCATAGGTATTACACACACACAAAATATCTTAATACATTTTAAGCCTTAATATTTAAGTTTAAGACCCAGCTCTCTGGAAAAAGCTCTAATGCTGGGAAAGGTAGAAAGAAAGAGAAGTTGAGGAACAAAGTGGATGGACTCAGTTACAGTGATGATGAGCCTACTGTTGGGAGACTTGAAGGACCAAGTTAGGGGTAGGTCATCATGGAGGAACTCTATCCAAGTGGTTACTAGGAGTGAAAAACAATGTGATGTCACATAATCAATTATCAAAAATGAGTCTAAATAGAGTTGCCCAATTTGACTTCTGCAGTGGCTGAACAACTACACAAGCTCAGTAATCCAGAGTATATTTCCTTGTCTTTTTCTTTTTAGAAAAAGCAAAAATAAAACTTTTCCCACAGAGAAGTATAGTTCTAAACCCAAATGGGATTTTAAAGGACAAGTCTGATCTAAAAATATTAGATAACAGCACATCTGTAATGTTATGTAAACACACTATTTTTAGCTCTTACCTGAAAGTATCTGCATAATAGCAATAGCACTTAGACTTATATACCATGTTATAGTGCTTTACAGCCCCCTCAAAGTGGTTTACAGAGTCAGCATACTGCCCCCAATAATTTGGGTCTGCATTTTACCCACCCTGGAAGGATGGAAGGCTGACTCAACCTTGAGCCTGGTGGGATTCGATCTACCAAATTGCAGTAGGAGTAGCTTGCAGTACTGCACTCTAACCACTGTGCCACCGAGGCTCATAATGAAGAGAATATGTCTGAATATTTAATATTCCTCTAACTAGAAAGCCCAAATTAGTTGTTTTCATTAACTGATTCTATCTGCACAATCTTTAAATCCTGGAATGCCATTAATAAGATTACACAAAGAAGATGCAAGATTAGATGCTCCCACATCTCCCAAATCCTCATAGGACCTTCAGGACTAGGAAATTTATTGCAATGCAAGTATTTATGGACTGAAGCCAGATTCTCTAGATGTATAAGACAGAAAAAGACTGACTCCTTCACTTTACATTCATACTTACCAACCAGGCTGAGTATTATTTATAGATGTGGTGATAACTTTGTTTTCTACAGTTCCCATGACACTTAGATGCAAATGACAACCCCTTTTCTCTACAAGGTGTGCTGTCCCTTCTCAATTTGAAGGTCAAAGATAACATGGCATCAGAATGCTTTATAAAGCATTATTTGAGAAGATCTAATTCTCTCCAGTTATTCTACTAATCTACCTGTTACCCATAGTCTTTTACATCTGTGCAAGTCTCATGGAGAAATGTGTTGCCTGTTGTAATTCTGACCCTTTACATTCAAATGAAAGAAACATTCTTTGGATATCTTATTTTCCCCTCTTCTGCTTTCTAGACCACATGAGCAGTCACAAGAAATAAGAATACAAGAGCCATGCTAGAGACTAATGAAGTGTGGCCTTGTCTTCTCCCAGGATGGCAAGAAGCTCTTCTAAGCAATGGTTTTGAAAAGTGGTATCTAAAGCATGAGACCAGCCTTCTCTGAACCGATTGCTCTACAAATATATTGGTCTATTACTGTTATAATTCACAGTCAAACCTATGTGATACATATGATAATTCAGAGGTTTTACCATGTCCAATTTTAAAGGCATCATGAGAGAGAAAGAGAGAGAGAGAGAGAGAGAGAGAAAAGGAGGGGGGAGGGAGGGGAGAGAGAGAGAGAGAGAGTGTCAGGCAGGCAGTCTCAGGGCTTTTTTGAGATCCTCTTTCATCCTTTCAGCAATATAAAGCTATATAGTTATCCAGAAGCCAGTCCTACTGAATTTAAAGGAATATATTTCCAGGCAAGTTTATATAAATTTGTAATTTAAATATCTATTAAGGATACTTAACATTTCTTCATCAGCAATTAATTAGACAATTTGTATTTTTTTCTTACTTGTGCAAAATAAAGAGTTCTTAGTAGTTTTAATATGTAGTCCTGTGTATTCTTAACTGGGTATAGGCATATATAGGATTTGCATTGTTAATACTGTTCCACCCTAAAAAGTTCTTCCTATATTTAAGAAGCTCCTGCATAGCACTGGACTAAGCTTTGAACTTGATGTCAGGGCAAACATTGCAAATGGAGCAATATAGATTTACTATGGATTTACATATTCACAAGCGGCAGTAGTAACAGCAACTGTAGCCTATGGATTCAGAATCTGGGGGAACATAGGTGGCCACACCTGACTACCTGTAAACACCAAGCAGCCCTGGACTTTCACAGTGCAGCATTGAAGCAGAATCTTGGTTCGTGCATTGCGCTAATTTATGGCATGTCTAGCTCTTGCTTATTGAATAAAATATGATATGCTGGATTCACGCAGCATGTTAAGCCACAAGCTACCTGCTTTACCACAATCAACAAATCCAGCCAGAAAATTCAGTCGGAAAACCTTCCTCTTAAAAATAATTATGTTTTAAAAAATGGAACCTAAACATCAGATCCTGCAGAGCAAAATTTACATAAATTCCACGAATTATAATTGTATAAATTATAATTTTGAAAAAACCTCAAGATAAAGCCCATTAAGATAGGGTAGCTTTATTTATCCAGTAGATGAGAGGGAGGGTGGCATGAAGGGAGGGGGAGAGGGAGAGAGAAGAGAGAAGAGGGAGAGGGAGAAGGGGAGGGAGGGATGGAGAGGGGGGAGGGAGGGAGAGAGAGACTACATCATCTATTCTTCCATGGGATTTTTGCATAGTTTCTCAGACATGATTTTTAGTCTGCAAACCATACACTTTGCAGATGTCTAAGATCAAGCTAAGAGAAGAATGCAGCATTCTTTCCAAGTTGCGACTTTCAAACTTTAATAACAGTTCCAGTTCCTCAGGGGCGGATGAGCTCGACTGCAATTAATAAATTCCTTAATTTCGCTCCAACTTCAGTTGGGACTTTCCTGCTCTCCTTTTCCCCATCCTCTGGAGTTTTGGTTTCTTTTTTCTTAAGGCGGGAAGAATCATTTCAAAGGTCATTTACTGCAGGAAATCAAAAGCGGCTAGTAAAAGGAAGTAGCAGAACTCTTTAACCCTGGAGAGATTCCCGGTCCCGCTACAGGAAAGCGAACGCTAGATCTCAGGTGCCCCAAAATAGCCAACCCCTAGTCCGGGGGACGAAGCAGACAGCTGTACTGTACTACGAGGGGAATCCAGTAGTGTAGCTTGGCCCACAGCTATTTGGCGTGTCAAAAAGCAGCCGGTTGAAACCAGGGTCGGCAGAGGAAAAGCAAAAGTGTGATTAAAAAAGTTGCTAGGGAGAACAATGGAAGCGAAGGGACACCTTCCCGACCCGTCTCGCCCTCCCGCTTACCTTTGATGCTGATGCCGAGGCCCCCCACGTCCTGCTTGACGATCCGCACCGTGCGCTTGATGTTGGTTAGCGAGTCCGGGACAAGGGCGCACGCCTCGGCGCCGTTCAGCTGCACCGGGCTGGGCGGCGGCTGCAGCGGCTCTTCGGAGCCCTTAGCGCTGGGGACGACGCTCAAGAAGTCCTCGGAAAGAGTCACCAAGACGCGCAGCCACTGCTCGCCCGGCGCTCGCAGCTCCAGCAAGCCGCTCTTGGGCGCTCTCCGGCCGGCCGCCATCTTCAGCGCATTCCTCGGATAGCCGCCCTCGCCGCCGCCGCCGCCGCTTCAACGCCTCCTCCCGCTTGCTTGTAATCGGGACGTGCCTACGGCGAAGAGCTACCGAAACGACCCGACGGCCAGCCGAGCGCCGAGTGAGCTAGCCGTCCCCGGCAGCGCTTCCCCGCCCAGGGAGACGCCCCTGGACCCTCCTCTCCTACCCCGGGAGGGGACTCCCCGGCACTGGAGGCCCGTGCGTGACGTCCCGCCTGGCCAAATACCCCAGGCTCGTTTGGGGGGAAGCGTGGTTGCTGCCCTAGCCGGGCAGAAGGGCAGCGCGAGCGGTGGCCTTCCTCTCATCTCCTCATAGTTCGTCATTTGGTCGCCGTCGTCTTTAACTGCCATTGCCAGCCGTACCGTCACGTCTTCCCTCAGAAAACCTGGGATGCCACATTTATTTATTTTTTAGTGTCAGGGCTCCACTATTAGGGGAGGACAAAGTTTAACAGTGAAGTTTCTGTACCAAGGAATTTCCACAGTAATGGGGAGGTGCTTTCAGTATATTCCTTTCCAGAACATAACTTTTCACTTTCTGCTCTTTACCAGTCAAGGGCACCATTTTCCTTTTTATTTAAACTTAGAGAAGAGCTTGAACAGAATCCCCAAAAAGAACACAATTGAGCCAGGCACTTTGATGTAGATATTGTTTTTTTTCAAATTGGGAAAGGATTAACCTGCTGCATAAATGTCCTTGTTGGAAAAATCTTGTAAACCATAGTTTGAAAACTTGTTGGAGTAGGTGCAGTGTTCCACAAGGCTTATAATCAGTAGTGACTTTCGGTATGTAGCTAATAGCAGTTCAGGCTGAATTCCAATTTTAAATTAACATTTAAAATGTGAATAACTTTGGGGCAGGTGATCTAATGGATCTCCGACTTTTCAGTTTGAGAAGCAGCATTTCCTGATTTTGACTTAAGTCTAAAACAAAGGTCTCCAAACTTGGCAACTTTAAGACTTGTGGACTTCAACTCCCAGAATTCCTCAGCCAGCAATACTATGCTGGCTAAGGAATTCTGGGAGTTGAAGTCCACAAGTCTTAAAGTTGCCAAGTTTGGAGACCCCGGTCTAAAATAATAGAAGCAAATTGAAATTTGAAACAAAATAGAACATTGTTGCTATCTTATGTTGATTCTGCTTCACCTTCTCTTGAATGTTGTGCTGCCTGTGTGTATACAGTGAACAGCACTGCAGCATTGTTCTATTACAATATGGAGTTTCTCCCTCCACCCCTATTCTTTTCTTAGATATACTGCTTGCGAAGAACACCCTTTCAAGACTGTCCAGATTAAAATAGGTACACCCACTTTATATTTATAACCATAAAAGTAACTCTCTCCTGAGCCACAATTAGCAAATGTCAAGAGCAGCCTCCTTCTATGAGTGGCATAACCTGAAGAATTTCTGAACGTGTACTTCTGTTACTATTTATATAACAAAGACAGGAGAAAGAATGTAAAAAAAAAAAATACATCTTTTTTTTGTAAAAAAAAAAATTTAAAACAAATAATCCATCTTCCATTTAAACATTTGTCCAGGTACAAATGTCTTGTGCAATAATTACAATTTACACATATTCATTGTATTGGTGTTCTCTATTCTTATTTAATACTGATATACATAATATGTCTAATTATTATAAGAATCCTAACATATTTAATATCCTAACATATTTAATTCTATTAGCATATTTTCTATATTTCACTAGTCTTTTTAATTTCTTTTTTATTTAAATTTCATTTATTTTCAAAAAACATGTATATTTACATTTTAACAGTTCTGTATCAAGCATTGCATTTTATTTACATTCTATTTCATATCAAATCTTAACCATATATATAACATTTCCCAAATGTCATAAGACTCTGACTCCTCTTTGCCTTTTAGTTTTCTCGTAAGCCTGTCCATCTCGGCACAATCAAGTATTTTATTAATTACCATGGTTTCAGAGGTGTGTCATCTACTTTCCAGCTTTGGGCATAGGCAATTCTCGCCGCTGTTATTATATGTTGAATGATGTATTGGGTAGGTTTCTCCAGATTTCCTTTAATCAACCCTAGTAAGAAGTTTTCTGGCTTAAATTCAATATTGTACCCTGTGATTTCTCTTATCCATGTCCAGTACATTTTGGCTTTGGGGCATTGCCACCACATATGGTAGTATGTTCCATCAATGAGCTTACATTTCCAGCATTGTGAGTTCATATTCAGATATATCTTGGCCAATCTTGCTGGTGTCAAATGTCATCTATAAAACATCTTAATAAGATTTTCTTTATATGTTGATAACATTAATTTTAGTCTTTTTAATTTATAATTTCATACACCTTGAATGCTTGTGAAGTGCAGTGATGGGGAGATCTGAGTTCACGTTCAATACTGATGGTGTTAACTAGTCGGGTAATGAAAAAACTACAAGCAAGCAACCAAGTTCAGAGAGTACTAGGAACTTCAACCCTGAGCTACAAGTATTCTCTTCTGTTGGAATCTGTATTATGCAAGGTTGAACAAAAGACAAAGGTCCAAGGTTGGATAAAGGACAAAGATCTAAGGACAAAGATTGGAGACAAGGGAGGGTCATGTTTGGAGCATATTGGATGAAGGATCTAAGGATCTAAATATCAGGATCTAAGGCTTAAAATACAAGTAATTTATAAGATATTACACTGGTAGGCTTTATGTGTACTATATTCTAGGTTTCAAATATGTAACAACAAAGTTGATAGCACAGTAGCAGAGGAAGAAAGGTGGTATTTGGTGAATCTGGAAACTATTATTTTATTTTATTTTTTCCATTGAGATGTCTTCTGGATATGTCAGGTTGTAACTGCCATTATCCCTGTGCTGTACTGACTGGGGGTGATGGAAATTACAGTCCAACACATCTAAAGTGTACCAGGAATAAAAGGCTTCTTTGCAACAAGCCATAAGTTAATGATAAAACAGGCTCTATGGCACTGTCAGAAAGAAACGCTAAGCAGAAGCTTTTGTTAAAGGATGAGAAAAGGCACCTTAAAACAGTACGCAATGCATATAAATTAATTAAAATTTCCCAAACTATTTCTGTGGTAGAAACGTTGTGCTGCAACAGTTTAGCAAAGCAACAGAGTTAATGCCTATTATCCCCACTTCAAAATCCCAGGTGCAATCTAGTTTGTTGTAGAGTTGTTTGGGGAGATTCCATTACAGGAGCATGCAGTAAGTCTAGAAAATGCTCTGTTTTGTTAATGGAAAACCAGACAAGTTCCCCACCTTGGAGATCATGCCAGTTAATACTGGGAAACATTTGGGTTGCTTCAACCCTTTAATTGCTGAGACAGAAATTACTGTAAATTTTAATGTCATTTTATATTTTATACTGTGCTGACTTTTGCTGTTGCTAATCATATATTACTTGAATTTTAACCATGATTTGCATTTTGGATATATATTTTATTTTTAAAAATTACATGAAAACACATATAAAGGAAAATTAAGGAAAATATTTTAAAAAGTGTGTTAAACAATGAAAAGGTAAAGAAAAAAGAAAAATACAATTAAAGAATTGACTTCTGATCTTATTTACAGCTGTTACAAACTTATTATTCCTCCTTTTCTCTAAGATTAGATTGCATAGTTCCCCTCTGTCCCATATTCAACCCTTTTTTCTTAGCAAATCCAGAAATCACCATTTCATTATTTTTCCATTTTCAGCAAAAATTCCATAAAAAGTTTCTAGTATTTTATAAAAGTTCTTAGGGTTTCATCTGTGATCAAACAGGTCAATTTTGCCATTTCTGCAAGTTCTGCCATCTTCACAGCCTGCTCTCCCAGCATGGATATATCAGTATTTCTTCAGCATCATGCATAAAATCTCTTGGAGCAATAAGAGATTTTATTGTTTAAAATGGTAATATTCATGTGATGACCCGGAGTATAACACAAATGTAACAAAATCCAAAACATAAATAAATATCCTTTAATGCCTCCAATTTGGTCCCGCTGTTCAATAATTTTCAGTTGGAGATAAAACGTTCTCAAAAACAGTCTTCAAAAGAAAGCGATGTAGTCCAAACTTAATGAGCAGATAGAGGTGAAATAAAAAAACCCCAAAACTACAATGACAAGGATAAGTAATTACCAAATTCAAGGAGATAACAAGGCACAGTCTGTTGGAAAGATGCTAACCAAGATAACTTCAACCCAAAATAACACAGGCTTTGCTTCTGGCAACACTGTGTTGTAATTGTCTCTCTTATATACTAGCCTCACCAACTGCAACCAATGAGGAGGACTATGGCCGCTTCCTCTCTCGTAAACCAAGTTGTTGCCTTCTCCATTTCTTCCTGCATGTCCTAGGATGCAGGGGGGATGGGCCTGGTTCTTCCTCTGACTGCCCAGCCGACCTCTGCCCTTCCCCAGCCTCTTCCACCACCTCCGGAGCTACACTCCACTCCCTGTCCGCTGTTCCTCCTCTCCCTCAGAGTCCGACTCTACCAAGGGCATGACAATTCAATTACTTCAGATATGAAATACTGAAACATTCTTTTAGCAATGTTTGACAGAGTAATGATAAAAATATTGTTACAGCAGAGTATATAAAATGTATTTGCTATTATTGTACAATGCAGTCATTTTTTTACTCTAAATGAAATGGCTTTGGGGACATTCCAGCATATATGAGTAGCAATCTGGATCAGAATCATACCAGGTTAGAAATCTCCCTCATCCCAACACATTCATGTTCATGTGCACACACACACTCATCACTTCCATTACAGTATTTGAGTCATATATTGCTGTTAGCAGCAATAGCAATATCATTTAGACTTATACACTGCCCCACAGTAAACTGTACTCTCTGGGCAGTTTATAATGTAGAAGCATTATTTGCATATATATTGCCCCCAACAATCTGGGTCCTCATTTTACTGACTTCCTGAAGGATGGAAGCAGTGGTGGGATTCAAATTTTTTTACTGCCAGTTCTGTGGGCATGCTTCGTGGGTGTGGCAGGGGAAGGTTACTGCAAAATCCCATTCCCTCCCCACCCCACTAACCTGCTTTCCAGCTCTGTTCTCCTATGCAGGGCAACAAAAGAAGACCCAG